TGTGGAGGAATGAGGGGGTGCAGGCGCCGAGTAACAGTGCCCGGCTGTGAATCGGACATTGTAGTGTCACCGTTGACCGGCAAAGGAAAAAAAAGCGGAATAAAAGGAAGCGGTGCCGGATCCACGGCAGTAGGAATAGGGACAGCCCGAGGTTGAGACCCAGAAGGCTGATCGGGCGAAGCGACCGTAGGCGCCGGTGCAAGTGCCAAGGCCGCCAACGGCGAAGTAACGGTGTTTACCGCCTGATCGGCTGAAGCTCCAGTATTCATTCTCGGGGAAGATAATGGAGACGAAGAAGTTTGAAGTCGATGGATCTAATGCCTTGTACCCAAATCCTAAGATCTGTCACTAGGGACGCCGGACCCACACTCAAGACGACCCAATTGGTGGCAGCCGAATCAGAAAGAGTATAGCCTGCCAAGTCGAGGTAGCCAACCAAATCGTCGACCAGGAAAGAAATGTAGTCGGGCAAACTCAATTGCACCTTTGCCGCAGCGTCCACTGAAACAAGGCGACGTCTGTCGGGCTGCGGAGGAATGAGGGGGTGCAGGCGCCGAGTAACAGTGCCCGGCTGTGAATCGGACATTGTAGTGTCACCGTTGACCGGCAAAGGAAAAAAAAGCGGAATAAAAGGAAGCGGTGCCGGATCCACGGCAGTAGGAATAGGGACAGCCCGAGGTTGAGACCCAGAAGGCTGATCGGGCGAAGCGACCGTAGGCGCCGGTGCAAGTGCCAAGGCCGCCAACGGCGAAGTAACGGTGTTTACCGCCTGATCGGCTGAAGCTCCAGTATTCATTCTCGGGGAAGATAATGGAGACGAAGAAGTTTGAAGTCGATGGATCTAATGCCTTGTACCCAAATCCTAAGATCTGTCACTAGGGACGCCGGACCCACACTCAAGACGACCCAATTGGTGGCAGCCGAATCAGAAAGAGTATAGCCTGCCAAGTCGAGGTAGCCAACCAAATCGTCGACCAGGAAAGAAATGTAGTCGGGCAAACTCAATTGCACCTTTGCCGCAGCGTCCACTGAAACAAGGCGACGTCTGTCGGGCTGCGGAGGATCGAAGGGGTGCAGGTGCCGAGTAACAGTGCCCGGCTGTGAATCGGACATTGTAGTGTCACCGTTGACCGGCGAAGGAAGCGGTGCCGGATCCACGGCAGTAGGAATAGGGACAGCCCGAGGTTGAGACCCAGAAGGCTGAGACAGCCCGAGGTTGAGACAGGCTGATCGGGCGAAGCGACCGTAGGCGCCTGTGCAAGCACCAAGGCCGCCAACGGTGAAGTAACGGTGTTTACTGCCTGATCGGCTGAAGCTCCAGTATTCATTCTCGGGGAAGATAATGGAGATGAAGAAGTTTGAAGTCGATGGATCTAATGCCTTGTACCCAAATCCTAAGATCTGTCACTAGGGACGCTGGACCCACACTCAAGACGACCCAATTGGTGGCAGCCGAATCAGAAAGAGTATAGCCTGCCAAGTCGAGGTAGCCAACCAAATCGTCGACCAGGAAAGAAATGTAGTCGGGCAAACTCAATTGCACCTTGGCCGCAGCGTCCACTGAAACAAGGCGACGTCTGTCGGGCTGCGGAGGATCGAAGGGGTGCAGGCACAGAGTAACAGTGCCCGGCTGTGAATCGGACATTGTAGTGTCACCGTTGACCGGCGAAGGAAGCGGTGCCGGATCTACGGCAGTAGGAATAGGGACAGCCCGAGGTTGAGACCCAGAAGGCTGATCGGGCGAAGCGACCGTAGGCGCTGGTGCAAGCGCCAAGGCCGCCAACGGCGAAGTAACGGTGTTTACCGCCTGATCGGCTGAAGCTCCAGTATTCATTCTCGGGGAAGATAATGGAGACGAAGAAGTTTGAAGTCGATGGATCTAATGCCTTGTACCCAAATCCTAAGATCTGTCACTAGGGACACCGGACCCACACTCAAGACGACCCAATTGGTGGCAGCCGAATCAGAAAGAGTATAGCCTGCCAAGCCGAGGTAGCCAACCAAATCGTCGACCAGGAAAGAAATGTAGTCGGGCAAACTCAATTGCACTTTTGCCGCAGCGTCCACTGAAACAAGGCGACGTCTGTCGGGCTGCGGAGGATCGAGGGGGTGCAGGCGCCGAGTAACAGTGCCCGGCTGTGAATCGGACATTGTAGTGTCACCGTTGACCGGCAAAGGAAAAAAAGCGGAAAAGGAAGCGGTGCCGGATCCACGGCAGTAGGAATAGGGACAGCCCGAGGTTGAGACCCAGAAGGCTGATCGGGCGAAGCGACCGTAGGCGCTGGTGCAAGCGCCAAGGCCGCCAACAGCGAAGTAACGGTGTTTACCGCCTGATCGGCTGAAGCTCCAGTATTCATTCTCGGGGAAGATAATGGAGACGAAGAAGTTTGAAGTCGATGGATCTAATGCCTTGTACCCAAATCCTAAGATCTGTCACTAGGGACACCGGACCCACACTCAAGACGACCCAATTGGTGGCAGCCGAATCAGAAAGAGTATAGCCTGCCAAGCCGAGGTAGCCAACCAAATCGTCGACCAGGAAAGAAATGTAGTCGGGCAAACTCAATTGCACTTTTGCCGCAGCGTCCACTGAAACAAGGCGACGTCTGTCGGGCTGCGGAGGATCGAGGGGGTGCAGGCGCCGAGTAACAGTGCCCGGCTGTGAATCGGACATTGTAGTGTCACCGTTGACCGGCAAAGGAAAAAAAAGCGGAATAAAAGGAAGCGGTGCCGGATCCACGGCAGTAGGAATAGGGACAGCCCGAGGTTGAGACCCAGAAGGCTGATCGGGCGAAGCGACCGTAGGCGCTGGTGCAAGCGCCAAGGCCGCCAACAGCGAAGTAACGGTGTTTACCGCCTGATCGGCTGAAGCTCCAGTATTCATTCTCGGGGAAGATAATGGAGACGAAGAAGTTTGAAGTCGATGGATCTAATGCCTTGTACCCAAATCCTAAGATCTGTCACTAGGGACGCCGGACCCACACTCAAGACGACCCAATTGGTGGCAGCCGAATCAGAAAGAGTATAGCCTGCCAAGTCGAGGTAGCCAACCAAATCGTCGACCAGGAAAGAAATGTAGTCGGGCAAACTCAATTGCACCTTTGCCTCAGCGTCCACTGAAACAAGGCGACGTCTGTCGGGCTGCGGAGGATCGAGGGGGTGCAGGCGCCGAGTAACAGTGCCCGGCTGTGAATCGGACATTGTAGTGTCACCGTTGACCGGCAAAGAAAAAAAAAGCGGAATAAAAGGAAGCGGTGCCGGATCCACGGCAGTAGGAATAGGGACAGCCCGAGGTTGAGACCCAGAAGGCTGATCGGGCGAAGCGACCGTAGGCGCCGGTGCAAGTGCCAAGGCCGCCAACGGCGAAGTAACGGTGTTTACCGCCTGATCGGCTGAAGCTCCAGTATTCATTCTCGGGGAAGATAATGGAGACGAAGAAGTTTGAAGTCGATGGATCTAATGCCTTGTACCCAAATCCTAAGATCTGTCACTAGGGACGCCGGACCCACACTCAAGACGACCCAATTGGTGGCGCCTGCCAAGTCGAGGTAGGCAACCAAATCGTCGACCAGGAAAGAAATGTAGTCGGGCAAACTCAATTGCACCTTTGCCGCAGCGTCCACTGAAACAAGGCGACGTCTGTCGGGCTGCGGAGGATCGAAGGGGTGCAGGCACCGAGTAACAGTGCCCGGCTGTGAATCGGACATTGTAGTGTCACCGTTGACCGGCGAAGGAAGCGGTGCCGGATCCACGGCAGTAGGAATAGGGACAGCCCGAGGTTGAGACCCAGAAGGCTGATCGGGCGAAGCGACCGTAGGCGCTGGTGCAAGCGCCAAGGTGCCAACGGCGAAGTAACGGTGTTTACCGCCTGATCGGCTGAAGCTCCAGTATTCATTCTCGGGGAAGATAATGGAGACGAAGAAGTTTGAAGTCGAAGGATCTAATGCCTTGTACCCAAATCCTAAGATCTGTCACTAGGGACACCGGACCCACACTCAAGACGACCCAATTGGTGGCAGCCGAATCAGAAAGAGTATAGCCTGCCAAGTCGAGGTAGCCAACCAAATCGTCGACCAGGAAAGAAATGTAGTCGGGCAAACTCAATTGCACCTTTGCCGCAGCGTCCACTGAAACAAGGCGACGTCTGTCGGGCTGCGGAGGATCGAGGGGGTGCAGGCGCCGAGTAACAGTGCCCGGCTGTGAATCGGACATTGTAGTGTCACCGTTGACCGGCAAAGGGAAAAAAAGCGGAATAAAAGGAAGCGGTGCCGGATCCACGGCAGTAGGAATAGGGACAGCCCGAGGTTGAGACCCAGAAGGCTGATCGGGCGAAGCGACCGTAGGCGCCGGTGCAAGTGCCAAGGCCGCCAACGGCGAAGTAACGGTGTTTACCGCCTGATCGGCTGAAGCTCCAGTATTCATTCTCGGGGAAGATAATGGAGACGAAGAAGTTTGAAGTCGATGGATCTAATGCCTTGTACCCAAATCCTAAGATCTGTCACTAGGGACGCCGGACCCACGCTCAAGACGACCCAATTGGTGGCGCCTGCCAAGTCGAGGTAGGCAACCAAATCGTCGACCAGGAAAGAAATGTAGTCGGGCAAACTCAATTGCACCTTTGCCGCAGCGTCCACTGAAACAAGGCGACGTCTGTCGGGCTGCGGAGGATCGAAGGGGTGCAGGCACCGAGTAACAGTGCCCGGCTGTGAATCGGACATTGTAGTGTCACCGTTGACCGGCGAAGGAAGCGGTGCCGGATCCACGGCAGTAGGAATAGGGACAGCCCGAGGTTGAGACCCAGAAGGCTGATCGGGCGAAGCGACCGTAGGCGCTGGTGCAAGCGCCAAGGCGCCAACGGCGAAGTAACGGTGTTTACCGCCTGATCGGCTGAAGCTCCAGTATTCATTCTCGGGGAAGATAATGGAGACGAAGAAGTTTGAAGTCGATGGATCTAATGCCTTGTACCCAAATCCTAAGATCTGTCACTAGGGACGCCGGACCCACACTCAAGACGACCCAATTGGTGGCGCCTGCCAAGTCGAGGTAGGCAACCAAATCGTCGACCAGGAAAGAAATGTAGTCGGGCAAACTCAATTGCACCTTTGCCGCAGCGTCCACTGAAACAAGGCGACGTCTGTCGGGCTGCGGAGGATCGAGGGGGTGCAGGCGCCGAGTAACAGTGCCCGGCTGTGAATCGGACATTGTAGTGTCACCGTTGACCGGCAAAGGGAAAAAAAGCGGAATAAAAGGAAGCGGTGCCGGATCCACGGCAGTAGGAATAGGGACAGCCCGAGGTTGAGACCCAGAAGGCTGATCGGGCGAAGCGACCGTAGGCGCCGGTGCAAGCGCCAAGGTGCCAACGGCGAAGTAACGGTGTTTACCGCCTGATCGGCTGAAGCTCCAGTATTCATTCTCGGGGAAGATAATGGAGACGAAGAAGTTTGAAGTCGAAGGATCTAATGCCTTGTACCCAAATCCTAAGATCTGTCACTAGGGACGCCGAACCCACACTCAAGACGACCCAATTGGTGGCAGCCGAATCAGAAAGAGTATAGCCTGCCAAGTCGAGGTAGCCAACCAAATCGTCGACCAGGAAAGAAATGTAGTCGGGCAAACTCAATTGCACCTTTGCCGCAGCGTCCACTGAAACAAGGCGACGTCTGTCGGGCTGCGGAGGATCGAAGGGGTGCAGGTGCCGAGTAACAGTGCCCGGCTGTGAATCGGACATTGTAGTGTCACCGTTGACCGGCGAAGGAAGCGGTGCCGGATCCACGGCAGTAGGAATAGGGACAGCCCGAGGTTGAGACCCAGAAGGCTGATCGGGCGAAGCGACCGTAGGCGCTGGTGCAAGCGCCAAGGTGCCAACGGCGAAGTAACGGTGTTTACCGCCTGATCGGCTGAAGCTCCAGTATTCATTCTCGGGGAAGATAATGGAGACGAAGAAGTTTGAAGTCGAAGGATCTAATGCCTTGTACCCAAATCCTAAGATCTGTCACTAGGGACGCCGAACCCACACTCAAGACGACCCAATTGGTGGCAGCCGAATCAGAAAGAGTATAGCCTGCCAAGTCGAGGTAGCCAACCAAATCGTCGACCAGGAAAGAAATGTAGTCGGGCAAACTCAATTGCACCTTTGCCGCAGCGTCCACTGAAACAAGGCGACGTCTGTCGGGCTGCGGAGGATCGAGGGGGTGCAGGCGCCGAGTAACAGTGCCCGGCTGTGAATCGGACATTGTAGTGTCACCGTTGACCGGCAAAGGATAAAAAAGCGGAATAAAAGGAAGCGGTGCCGGATCCACGGCAGTAGGAATAGGGACAGCCCGAGGTTGAGACCCAGAAGGCTGATCGGGCGAAGCGACCGTGGGCGCCGGTGCAAGTGCCAAGGCCGCCAACGGCGAAGTAACGGTGTTTACCGCCTGATCGGCTGAAGCTCCAGTATTCATTCTCGGGGAAGATAATGGAGACGAAGAAGTTTGAAGTCGATGGATCTAACGCCTTGTACCCAAATCCTAAGATCTGTCACTAGGGACACCGGACCCACACTCAAGACGACCCAATTGGTGGCAGCCGAATCAGAAAGAGTATAGCCTGCCAAGTCGAGGTAGCCAACCAAATCGTCGACCAGGAAAGAAATGTAGTCGGGCAAACTCAATTGCACCTTTGCCGCAGCGTCCACTGAAACAAGGCGACGTCTGTCGGGCTGCGGAGGATCGAGGGGGTGCAGGCGCCGAGTAACAGTGCCCGGCTGTGAATCGGACATTGTAGTGTCACCGTTGACCGGCAAAGGATAAAAAAGCGGAATAAAAGGAAGCGGTGCCGGATCCACGGCAGTAGGAATAGGGACAGCCCGAGGTTGAGACCCAGAAGGCTGATCGGGCGAAGCGACCGTGGGCGCCGGTGCAAGTGCCAAGGCCGCCAACGGCGAAGTAACGGTGTTTACCGCCTGATCGGCTGAAGCTCCAGTATTCATTCTCGGGGAAGATAATGGAGACGAAGAAGTTTGAAGTCGATGGATCTAATGCCTTGTACCCAAATCCTAAGATCTGTCACTAGGGACGCCGGACCCACGCTCAAGACGACCCAATTGGTGGCAGCCGAATCAGAAAGAGTATAGCCTGCCAAGTCGAGGTAGCCAACCAAATCGTCGACCAGGAAAGAAATGTAGTCGGGCAAACTCAATTGCACCTTTGCCGCAGCGTCCACTGAAACAAGGCGACGTCTGTCGGGCTGCGGAGGATCGAAGGGGTGCAGGTGCCGAGTAACAGTGCCCGGCTGTGAATCGGACATTGTAGTGTCACCGTTGACCGGCGAAGGAAGCGGTGCCGGATCCACGGCAGTAGGAATAGGGACAGCCCGAGGTTGAGACCCAGAAGGCTGATCGGGCGAAGCGACCGTAGGCGCTGGTGCAAGCGCCAAGGTGCCAACGGCGAAGTAACGGTGTTTACCGCCTGATCGGCTGAAGCTCCAGTATTCATTCTCGGGGAAGATAATGGAGACGAAGAAGTTTGAAGTCGAAGGATCTAATGCCTTGTACCCAAATCCT